TTATTTCTATTCGGAGATTAACTTTTGTCATTATTGGCTGTTGATTCGTAAATTAATTCTGAAAATGTTATTTTAGTAAAAATCAAATATCCTATTTCATCATCAAATATTACAGAAGATTAAAAATAGTGGTAACATTCTACAAGAATCATAGAATGGTTATAATTTGTTTCTATTTTTTAATCTCATTACTTTATATTATTTGTTATTTGCCAAAAATCTTTGGATTATTCTTATAAGCAAATTAATTTTGATTAAGTTATTATTCAGAGATAAATTTAATTGTAAAATATCAACTATGGTATACTTTATTTTCTTCTCTGAAGGTGGGTGGCAAGCCTTTGAATTAAACGTATGATTATTTGTGTACACAAGCAAGTATTCATGAAGATTTAGATGGGTTTTTAGATAACGCATGTAATCCTCCATATTATAAAAAATCAAAATATATGTAATTAATTCATTTACGAATTCTCTAGGTTTGGTAAAAATCTAACCAATTATTTAGGAAGATTTCTAATAATTATCCCTAATTTCTATTTTTTCATTATAGAATTGAAAGTAAATTTTACTTACAAAATTAAAGAATTCAGTTAAATTAAATGAAAGTATCTATAAAATAATTCACTCTTTTTTTATTAGTATGGGTCAGTTTTTAAAAGAGTCGCTGGATTTAAAAATGATATCCATAAAACCGAATTTCAATAAATATTTTCAAGGAATGAATTGAAAATTCTATTCTATAAATGAAATAATGATATTGAAACCTTAAGCAAACTTTTTTTTTGTTTATCGACGTAAATGCACTGATGAAATGAATCGTCTTAAGGACTTGGTTCTGCAATATAATTAACAGCTGACAACCTTTCATCGACAGAAAGTATGTTAAATAAATTAAAAATTTACTAAAGGTTTTGGATATTAATTAATTTTACTTGATAATCAATTAATAATCTAAAATAATGATATTTAGTCGAATTTAAATAAATTGCTATCCATCCTGATTTTTCATAGATTCTGTATGTGTTTATGAAGCGTTTTAAAGAGCTCAAATGTAACCATTCCATAATATATTAGATAGGGTCTAGGATTTTGGAAATCCCTAAAGAACAAAAATGAATAATTATAGACACCTTTTGACCTAAAGTCTGAAATAAATTTTTCTAATAGTATTGCTTAATTATATATCTTTAACCATCTCGCATTCCTTTTTCTAAATTTAATATAATTTGAAGGATCAATAGTATCGTAGAAGTCTTCGAAGCCAATATTTAAAAATTAAAAGTAGAATTTTTCTAACCTTTATAGTATCTTTTGATAATTTAAAGTGATTTAAGTATGAAAAATACTACTTTGATTGGTTATAGCAATAATAGGAAAAAATTCAATCCTTCTTCAATAGATTTATTACTAAATAAGTCAAATGAATATATAAAAATAATATGTTATTTGAAGGACTATTCTTATCGTTGGATTGAAATTAGAAATAATTCAATCAAATTCATTATTATTTAAAAAATATTATAGAAAAAAAGAAAAGTAAATTAGTAATTTTTTTATTTTATTCAATTATTCTTCTAGCTTCATTTAAATACTTAAATCTATTCTCGTCCATTTACCAACTTTCTTACCATTTTGATATTAACCACGATAACCTATTTAATGAAACCTTTTAAACTCATCTGACAACTCAATCCAATTACCAAACTATTTTCCTTCACCCTTTTCATCATATGATCCACCACCACTAAATATTTATTGCAGACTTTATAAAAAGTTATTTACATCAATTGGTGCTTTCCTCTGACCCAATCCCAATTCCAAATATCCCATCTACCAACTTTTTTATCATTGTTATATTAACCATTAAACGTAACATAATAATCGGTCTGAAACTTTTGAGACAATTCAATCCATATACCCTGTTTTGTCCCTTCACCTCCTTCATCATATAATCCACCACCTCTAATCAAAATAAGTAGTATAATAATTTAAACATTTATTTCCAAGAATCAATTTTATTGTCCTAAGTGAGAATATCCCAAAGCCCTATTTTCTTTCCATATTTATATTCACCTTTATAAATTACATGAATCTTTTCAATTAAATCATTTTGCCATTCAATCCATTTACCATTCTTAATGCCAACCCCTTGATCATCATAAAATCCACCTCCGCTAAATTTATTTTAATAACTTGTAATGCTTACATTTATTAGTATGGAAAATCCGTATAAGAACTATACAATATATTCTATCGACCAATCTTTTTACCATTTTATATTCACCATTTAAAATTACATTATGTATACTATCAAATCTTTCCCATAACTCTATCCAATAACCAACCTTAACATCTTCACCTTTGTTTTGATATATACCTCCACCTCTAATAATATAAAATATCCTTATTTTTATTTTACATTTACTGATTTCTTACATATTCTTAACCCTAGCCAAAATGTTTAAAGAAAATATCCCATCTACCAACTTTCTTCCCATACATATATTTTCCGTTCAAAGTTATTTATGAACCAAAAAAATATCCATTATTAGATAAAGTCCATTTACCTACTTTTTTTCCTTAGCAACCATAATCATATGTTCCACCACCACTGAAGAAATATAATTAAATTAATTTACATAAATTTGAATTAATAATTAGAACATACTTAAAAATAAATATTCCATCTGCCAACTTTTATCCCGTTTTTGAATTCTCCATAATAGATTATATTAGAAAAAAATTGAAATTGATCCTAAAGTTCTGCCCATTTACCTTGTTTTATCTGATTTAATTTATCCCCATATGATCCCCCACCACTAAAAATAATTTATGCTGATTTTAATTTACATCAATTGAAATTTATATCTTGAATGCTCCCTATACATAATATTCCATCTACCTATTTTTTTCCCATTTTTATATTCACCTATGTGGTTACTTAAAAATCATTAGAAAATCCATCTGACAACTCAATCCATTTACCCTATTTTAACGGAAATTCATGCTTATCAAATGAACCACCACTAAATATTTTAAATTACAAAATCTTTATAAGCTTTTTAAATACAGCTACTTTTTTGGGTCCTAAAATCCAACAACAAAATCTCCCATCTATCTACCTTTTTACCATTTTAATATTGACCAGCATAAACTACTGGAGATTTATTCTAAAAATCATCTGAAAGCTCGATCCATGTACCCTACCTAATTTGATTACATTCATGATCAAATGATCCTCCACTACTTTACAAAATTATAAGAATATTAATTTACATCAATTGAAATGGACAATTTGAATGCTCTCTAAACATAATATCCCATCTACCAACCTTTTTACCATTTGTATATTCACCAACATATGTGGCTTAAGAATGATTATAAAATCCATCTGAAAGCTCAATCCATCTACCAAGCTTAATTCCCTCACTTATTAAATAATATGATCCGCCCCCACTAAATATAATTATGCACATGATAATTTTACATTAATTAAAATGGATAATTTGAATGTTCCCTAAACTTAGCATCCCATCTGCCAACTTTTTTCCCATTTTTATAGTGCCCACTATATGTGACTTAGGAATCATTATTAAATCCATCAAATAACTCAATCCATTGGCCTATTTTAACCCCTTCCCCTCGTTCATCATATGATCCACCCCCTCTGAATATAATTAAGTATATTATAATTTACATTAAATAAAATGGACAATTTGAATGCTCCCTAAACATAATTTCCCACCTACCAACTTTTTTCCCATTTTTATATTCACCATTATATGTTACTTAAGAATTAACATTAAATTCATCTGACAACTCGATCCAAATACCTACTTATATACCATTGCCTTATTCATCATATGATTGGTAACCGCTAATTTTCAACTTTAAATAATGATTTTACATTTATTCTGGTTTATTATTACAAGGGTTTGTCCACTAAATGTTCCATCTACCAAATTTCTTACAATTTTTATACTCTCCATAATAAAAGACTTAAGAACAATTCTGAAATCTATTCTATAGTTCTTTCCAATGCCCATATTTTTCACCTTATTAACTATATAAACCCCCACCACTTTAATTGAGAATTATTATTACATCTTTTTATTTTAATAAACATATTTCCATCTTCCCGTTCTTTAGCCATTCTCATATTCTCCTATTTCATAAACGTAAGCTGTAATATTAAATAGTCAAAATACACTAAGCACAAAATCTTGATACTATCTCTACCCAATTACCCTACTTTCTACCATCATCATTGTAATGTCCTCCAACATTTCTCAAAGCCTCTCCATCCCATGTAGCCATCCAATATCCAACCCTCTNATAATATTCCATCTACCTATTTTTTTCCCATTTTTATATTCACCTATATTTGTTACTTAAAAATCATTAGAAAATCCGTCTGACAGGTCAATCCATTTACCCTATTTTAACGGAAATTCATGCTTATCAAATGAACCACCACCACTATATATTTTAAATTACAAAATCTTTATAAACTTTTTACATGCAGCTACTTTTTTGGGTCCTAAAATCCAATAATAAAATCTCCCATCTATCTACCTTTTTACCATTTTAATATTGACCAGCATAAACAACTGGAGATTCATTCTAAAAATCATCTGAAAGCTCGATCCATGTACCCTACTTAATTTGATTACATTTATGATCAAATGAACCTCCACCACTTTACAAAATTATAAGAATATTAATTTACATCAATTGAAATGGACAATTTGAATGCTCCCTAAACATAATATCCCATCTACCAACCTTTTTACCATTTGTATATTCACCAACATATGTGGCTTAAGAATGATTATAAAATCCATCTGAAAGCTCAATCCATCTACCAAGCTTAATTCCCTCACTTATTAAATAATATGATCCGCCCCCACTAAATATAATTATGCACATGATAATTTTACATTAATTAAAATGGATAATTTGAATGTTCCCTAAACTTAGCATCCCATCTGCCAACTTTTTTCCCATTTTTATAGTGCCCACTATATGTGACTTAGGAATCATTATTAAATCCATCAAATAACTCAATCCATTGGCCTATTTTAACCCCTTCCCCTCGTTCATCATATGATCCACCCCCTCTGAATATAATTAAGTATATTATAATTTACATTAAATAAAATGGACAATTTGAATGCTCCCTAAACATAATTTCCCACCTACCAACTTTTTTCCCATTTTTATATTCACCATTATATGTTACTTAAGAATTAACATAAAATTCATCTGACAACTCGATCCACATACCTACTTATATACCTTTGCCTTATTCATCATATGATTGGTAACCGCTATTTTTCAACTTTAACTAATGATTTTACATTTATTCTAGTTTATTATTACAAGGTTTGTCCACTAAATGTTCTATCTACCAAATTTCTTACAATTTTTATACTCTCCATAATAAAAGACTTAAGAACAACTCTGAAATCTATTCTATAGTTCTTTCCAACGCCCATATTTTTCACAATATTAACTATACTCACCCCCACCACTTTAATTGAGAATTATTATTACATCTTTTTATTTTAATAGACATATTTCCATCTTCCCGTTCTTTAGCCATTCTCATATTCTCCTATTTCATAAACGTAAGCTGTAATATTAAATAGTCAAAATACACTAAGCACAAAATCTTGATACTATCTCTACCCAATTACCCTACTTTCTACCATCATCATTGTAATGTCCTCCAACATTTCTCAAAGCCTCTCCATCCCATGTAGCCATCCAATATCCAACCCTCTTATTATTCTATCCAAAGTTCCCATGCCAATATAAATGTTTAATTTATTCAAGGTTAGTCATTAATTGATATCCTTCATAAATTTCATCTCTTAAACAAAGAAATAAAGTAGTACATTCTCAAAATTGATCCATTATAAGCATAAGTTATTTCTTTTTGATTTATGATAGTATAGAAATTTCTGAGTATTAATCATCTAAGACTTTAGGTATGCTACCCATCCCTATCCCGCCCAATATGCATTAAAGGTATTTTTGTTTATAAGATTGTAGATTGCTCTGAAACATTTTGTGATAACATAAAAATTATTTGGATTGATTTGCAACATTTACTAATTAAGGATTTAGAACGAATAAAATACATTTATTTCTGAAAATAAAATTTACAGATAATGATGATATGATTATAATATTTTGATTAAAAAATTCCAGTTTTTTTTATAAGGTGCAGTTGAAATATTAATAAGTAATCAATAAACAATTCTGATTTATTTATATAGGAGTTTCCAACTTAACAAAATATTAAGAGTTATAAAACACAAGTCCATTGTTTTTGACCTTCCTTAAACGATTAGTTTTATAAAACAATATTCAGAACCAAATTTGAAAGAAAATATCTTAAGAGTTCTTGCTTATTTAAAGGAAAATCAACACCAATTACTTTTTATTTAATACTATAATCAAATTTAAGGCTAGGTTTTATTGAGTTATCAGAATATTTGGAGATAATTAATATTATTGTCGAAGCTTAGAGTTAATAGCAGATAGAATTCATTACATAATATATACTACTTTTACTGTAGTAAATTCTTTTGGGATGGTTTAAAAAAATTAGAATAAATTAGTCTTTCTTTCTTAACTGGGATTGATTTCTTGTAGATTGACTATTTTGTATTCTATAATAAATGATATGACTTTTATGCTTCAACAATTTGCATAATGTGATTATTTTGTGTAGATGAGGATTATATCTCATCCCATCCTAAATTTCAAATTAATGCAGTCCACAAATAAAATAATAAGTATTAAATTCCATAATGAAATATATTGAGTATAAAATTTGTTTTTCAATGTTCCATAAATAAATTGCAATGAACTAATTATGAAATCTTAATTCTTTTTTGGGTTTATGGAATGGATAAATGTATAGATTTTGGGAAAATCTCTGAGATAAAAGCATATCAGGTTCCAGTGGGCAAAGTGCTTCCTATGGGTTTTAACATTTAACATCCCCCTAAAGAAGTAGCTATGAAGACTCCCCGGCCGCTGAATGTTTAATTAGGGTATTTCTAGACAAGGGGGGGATTGGAGGATCCTATTTTAAAAAAGTATTATTCATTGGATGATCCAAACCAAAGCAAGGTAGGTCAGAAAAAGACCTGGCCTTCAGAAGACTTAAGAGCTGTTGGCTGGTGATCCTATGGAATAAAGGGTGTTTTTAGAATGAATGTCGATATTAACCAAAAAAGGGGCAAATACTCAAATATGGGTGCCCCTCTAATTGTTATTCTGAATATTTAAGAAAAAAGAGTTAAAAAACAATTTTAATTAGATATTTTTCAAAATGAATAGTATTTAACAAAAAGGCAATCAGAATTTGAAAGAATGGATTTATAAAAATTACATAGGTCAAGATAGTAATCCATAGATGACTAATTCCCTGATACCGATAGATGAAGGAAATCACAAGAGAATCATTCATTTAATAATTATGATTTAGACACACTCTCATGTTTAATTACATAAATCCCAATTAAAGTACTTAGATTCAGACTACAGAGATAAGCATAGAAAGGACAAGTTCAAAAATAGTGTTCGAGTTACATTAGTTCTGCCTGAGGAAGAAAAACAACTTATCATGAAAGGATAGAAAAAGCGGAAAGAAGGCAATCTAGAGAGAGATGGAGTATTTAGGATGTTAGAAAAACACTACTAACAAGGAGAATTTTATATGGTGAATCCAATAGCTGAGGAGATGATTTCAGATGCGGAATCAGCCTGAAGCCAGCAAACTTTCCGCAAGATGTATATTGATTCCCAAGGTATAATCGTCATCTAGGGAAATTGTTGTAGAAAGGAATTGATTGAAATTGGAGGAATAGAGAAAATTTTCAAGCAAATCAGTGAGGCTCTTGGAAATTACGGTTTGGACATCTCCTTGATCTCATTAAATATATCCCCTAGAGGATTCAAAGGGTTTGTACAAAAATTTGGTTGTCAGATTTGCTTCAAATTAATTAGCAATTTCAACTGGCAATTTCTAGGAAAATCATAAAAAAGTGACTGAGGAAAAGAATAATTCAGAGATAATGGCTATGATCTTGGAAACGAAGCGAGAAATGATTAGGAAATATGACCTTATGAAACTACTAACCAATAACCTAAAATGGCTTGGAGGAAGAAGTTAGAGGTCTTCCATCATACATTGACTTATTATACATTGCTTTAGATATCCAAAACAACACTCCATACTTAATTCTTTTTAAAGATCTAAACTTAAAAGGGGGTTAAATTATATAAGAGAAAGGTTGGGGACTATGAAACAATTGTTCTATGGAGGAGAACGTTAACCTGTCTTAAGAGTTGTTTTCATGAGATTTAGTCTATCTTTCAGTAGTAAATATGAATTTTATCTAATATTGCTAGCATCAGCTTCATATGTATTTGCTTAAGTTCAATGCTCTTGAAATTTAGTGTATTTTTTATAAGAATAATCTACAAAGCGATTCTACCAAAACGTATTTAATGTTAATGCATATCCTATCTAGATTATAATTTAATGCTCTAATATATAACAGCTAATCGATCTACCTACAAGCTTAAGACTTCTTTTGATCCTTTTCGAAATTTCTTAACATGATTTAGTTTTTTCTTTTTTTTTATTTTTTATAAAATTTACAAAAATCTTAAATTACCCAATTCAAAAGAAAATAGATTTATCATACAAGACTTAAAAGAATCGCTGAATTTAAGTAACCTATTTGATGAATTAACACAAAGGTTTAGCATAATTAATAATAGAAGCTACTTCATTACCCTAACCAAAATAGTTTCTTTATACTCTCTTTATAGATCAAGTTAAGGCCACTAGATATAAAACTGAGATATTATACAGAGGAAATTCTTTCGTTGTTATTGAATCTTAAATAGGCTAGGGGAATAGATGATGTTACTTGATATAAGAGTTTGAGGTAGTGAATAAAGGGAATTTATAACTATGTTCATATAAATGAGCAGAAAGAGAATCAGGTAGAACAATTCATGCCGTCATATGATTCCTAAATTAAGAATTCTAAGAAGAATTTAATAGGAATTATTATACAATTTCGAAATAAATTTATTGTTTTTTTTTACATAACTAAAGAATAACATCAGAATTCTTCTAAATACAAATTTAATTATATCATAATTTATTATGAGTGTTGGCGTCATATGTGAAACAACTTGTTTTGGAACTTTTCCCACCAAAGAATCTGATTGCGATGCATTCGAGGCTTTATAATCCTTCCCCACCTACGATGCCCTTGCTGGAGCTAGTGACAGAGAGATATAAATACCGCTCGACTAGATATCAATCGAATTAAGGTTAATGTCTTTAGGCGAATAGGAGTATACTTTTTTGATTAATTTATAAGGTTTATTCAATATCTCATAATCTAATTTATTAATTCACGTAAGTTTTAACCACCTATTTCAATAAGACCACTGCATTCTTCAAGTTTGATGTTCTTATACAAACATAGTATATAATTGTTCACCATCGATGGCAAAAAAATAAACAAATCAAGTTTTTCTCTAAATTAATTGTTGATGAAAAATATCAGAATTCGTTTTACAAGTTATTAGAATTCTTCATTTACTCCTAAGCCACCCAAAAATACCTTGTAAGCATGAAAAATATCTACCTTCTAAGGTAAGTTGCTTTTATATTGATCACAAGCGTATAACCCCCATCGCTGTTTTTTACCTACAAGTAGGAAAATTAAATTAGGAAACCTTAATTAAATTAAATAAACTATTTTAATCTAGGAAGCAAATTTTGAAGGAGAATGGAGAAAGTTTATTTTAGGATCAGATTACGCTAAAATACTATAAGAGAA